CATGATTGAGCACTGGAGGGACTTTAAATTTTCTGACTCACTACGTAAGAAGTTCTACGATGGCTCCAAAACACTCCTACTTTACAGCAAGTATTGAAAAAGATCCATCGAAGATCCACCGAAGATCCATCGAAAAATTCATCCCACATCTTTAATAAGGTAGAAAGTCCGTCTTCATATCTGTAAAATAAAATAGAACAAAACGATAAGTTATCTGCAATATGATCTAAAATCATATGAAATAAAATCGAATGAAATGTTAATAAAAATGAATACTTACAATGCATTCCAATGGGATGCAGCTCAATTGCACCATGGCGATGCACCACCTCGCGTGAATCTAAAAACGCGGTATAAACGAAAATAAGAAACTATAGATGAGTTTCTTATCGCGATACCGATATTAAATGATACGGCGAACAACACTGAATCTAATTCGCGTTTGATTTTAACTTATTACTCGCCCGTTCACTGACTTTACAACTAATTCAAAGACTGCTTTGCACACAGTMTATTGAAACWAACAAATTTCACACTTTATTTTAATCCCGAAACGCGTTGAATTTAAAATCTTCATTGATGCACTGAYTCTAATACGCGAACAGTCTGTGCGACTGTTTAAATATAAAAATGCAACTTTACTCGAACAAATTCTAATGCAATTACACACTGCATTGGTCGCAGTTAATTTAATATATTAATTGCAAAAATAGTTCGCGAACGCGACGGAATTGAAATTAACGAACGAACGTGCTTCTAATCCGTGATTTTAATGATATTTCAACGATCAAACACTCCCGTATATTGTTTCGCGCACGATTGCAATGCACGAACACTTGTAACACTTCACAAACACTATTCACACACTTCCAACGCTGCAATATTCCCATGATGATCTAAAACAGAAATAAAAACAGAATTATGAATATCATTGTTGCAAGAAAAAATTATTATAATTATTAGGAAAGTGTTTAAAATAATAATTGACTTACGTATATTCTTCAGTGATGAATGCACGATGGATATCCTATCCTTAAGATGACGATGAGCACACATTTAAAAAGAATAAAAGAAACTTAAGGAGTTTCTTTACCCGAGCAAACGAAACTTTTTTAACATTCGACGATCAACACTGATTCTACTTTCCGATTCTTTTATTTTTTAATTTAACGATGCAACACACGAGTACCTCATTGCCTACGCGCTCGATTGCAATGATGTTCTGAAACAGAAAAAGAAAAAGAACAATTAATATCATCGTCCTAATAAAAAACCATTGCAGTTATCATAGACATTTTTGATAGAAAACTATACTTACTTTTAGTCTTCATTGATGACTGCAGGATGGGTTTCCTACCCTTARGATGACGATGAATAAAATAAAATWAAATAAAACAATCTGTAAAGCTGAAACATACTAAAGATTATATTATAGTACAATATTCCCTGTTAATCATTCCTGAAGGCAWTTCACACACTTTAAAAAATATTCTATCATAAAAAATTAATATAAATTCAAGCAATATTAATTGTTTTAATCTCACTACTTGTATAAAATTACATACAAAGTATGTAATGTTTGTAAAAATATTAATTG